TATATATATATATATATATTAGATATATTAATATGTATAATAATGGTTAATATGTATAATAATAAAAAATTAATTTTTTTGCCATCACGAATAAAGTAATTTTTAAGTAAGTTCTCTTCTTATTTTAATCGAAATATCTGAATATACACGCCAAACTTTCATCAACTTGATATCTGCGTCAGTATCTGCGATAGTTAAAATACTTACACCTCGTAAAGGAAAATTAGAGCCGTAATTGCGAGATTTGCCAATGGGCGCCGCACCGTTGTCGGTGAGGAAAAGGATCAGCGAGTTCCTCAGCATCCCCCGGTTGCCCAAAGCATTAACGATGCGCCCAACGGAATCGTCTAATTTCGATACCATCCCTGAAGCGAAATTAACGGCGAGGTAACAAAGGGAGGGGATAAGCTTCTTTACGAAATATCCTGCGTAAGCTCTCATCTCTCGATTAAACTAATATAATATTCGGTATTTATTTTAATTATCTTTGACGTAAGCTATTGCAGTTATTGACCGACTTTTGTCGTCGATAACTGTAATCGATACACACTGGCATATTTGCGGCGATTCTGTTCCGGGATGTTTGTGAACCGCCTATCGTTATAGTGATCGTACTCTTGCGGGTCCTCGACAGGCGCGTGGACAGCGAGATGCGATATATGGAGATAGAGCGGTCGAGACGGATCGTGATGCTCAATGATTCTGACCGCCTCGTCGGAGAAAAGATCCGTCACATATTTGTCGCTCATGCCATAAGCCGGGGCGTCGCCACGATGCATATCGTACCCGCTCATATTCTAATATATATGTATATATTAGAAGAAGAGTTATATGTATAATATATAAAATAAATTATATATGTATATTGATATATATGTAAAACAATTGAGTGTGAAATGTAATAACAAAAGTTAAATTGAGGGGAATGAAAATGTTATGAATATTTAATTTATCTGGATTTTGTCTGAAAATTTTTTGTATCATAAATTATTATGAAAAGAACATATATATATATATATATATATATATATACCTATATATATATATATATGCATGTGTGAAGTTAGCACCCCAATAATAAAATTCCATAGTTCTGATCAGAGTTGCCGCTTCATTTTGAAAAGACGAGGTGTTTTCTATAGTTTCTAACAAGAGTTCTGCTTAATA